ATGGGTTATTTGTGATGTCTTTTCTGAAGAGAGGTTATGTTCAAAATTGTAAATTAAGATTTTCCCCTTTGCGTTACCAAAAACCTTGAGGCGCGTTACGGGAAATCAATTGTAATTAAGCCACATCACAAAAAAACTAGACATAACGCATCACACACAAAATATTTTCGCAATGTCTCACGTCTAGGCGCTAATTTGTATTGTCTACTTGACATCGCAAAATAAATTTATATAAAATTTAAATGACTGGAAATAAAAAATAATGTAAAATGTAATAACCTTTTCACGTTTCATAAATATTCCTATCTGTAGCCTACTTTAACTCACCTGTTAGTTGTAATGTACTTCACCAACCAAATTTGCATATATGGTATACAGGATGAATAATATATATCAAGTAAGTGTGTTTGAGACAAGAAACCAAGGGAATTATCATCAACACAAATGTTTCCTTACAAAAACTCGGGGTGTTGAAGTTTTAGGAAAAAAATTGAAATTAATTAATATTTTTAGAACCGCTTCAGATATTTCACTGATATTCAGTACGTAGTGAAAGTTAATAAAGTTGCATATTTTTCAATGCAGAAATAATTTTTATTATATATTTTATATTGACTTCGATATTTTTTAAGAAAAATGGTACGCCAATGGTTTTTTGCCAAATAAAAATTATTTTTGAATTCCCCGTTCAATTTAAAACAAATGATCTCTCTTGATTGTTTTCCTTCGATGCGCCGTTTTTGAGTAAAAAAATAAAACCGTTCTATTGTCTAACTTGCAAAATTATTATTAATTTAATTGGAAAAATTAAACACATTAGGGGTAATGAACAACAACAACTGACAACATAAACATAACATTAAAACCAACGAAATGATTACAAAAATTACTTAGTATGCATGCTCCCGCCCTCCTTCAAATAGAATTGCGCACTCGTTGAAATATCGCTGGAGTGTTTTTTATTCTATCAGAAGCTGCAACTATTCTTTCTCTTAATTCCTCTGCAGTGTTAATGGGACTTGTGTACACTGGTGTCTTAAGATAGCCCCAAAAAAGAAATCTAAACTGTTGAGGTCTGGGGACCTTGGTGGCCATTCTTGGCGCCCACCGCGGCCCGTCCAACGATTTGGATAAACAGTTTGTAAATAATTACGAACCGCTGCACTGAAATGCGCTGGTGCACCATCATGCATGTACCAAGTATTGTTTCTTATTACTAACGGAACATCATCAAGCAGCAAAAGCAACTGTTGTTGAAGAAAATTGACGTAAGTCGTCCTCGCAAGAAGAATGGGCCAGTAAACTGGTTGCCAATAATGCCTGTCCATACGTTAACCGAAAATTGGTGTTGGAAATGGGTTTCAGTTACGGCATAGGGATTTTTTTCTGCCCACAAATGATTATTGTGGAAATTCTGAATGGCATTTTGAAAAAAATTAGCTTCGTCCGTGAACAGAATCATTGATTCAAATTGCGGATTTTGTGTAATTTTTTGAAGATACCACTGACAAAAGGTCACACGCCTTGGAAAATCAATGGGAAGTAATGCCTGTACTCTTAAAATATGGTAAGGATATAACAAAAAATTCACTAAAATTCTCCCAAACAATTTGATGGAAAATATTTAAGTGACTAGCGATCTTCCTCCTACTCGTTTCAGGATGTTCTTCGACTTCGTGCAGTACTGCCTCCTCAATGTCAGGTGTTCTCACACTTAGAGGTCTAGTTTCAGATGTTCCTTTTCGGACAGAACCAGTTTCAACAAGACGACGTTGAATATTAGAAAAGGTTCGACTATCTGGCAAAGCACGATCGGGTTATCTCTGGCTTGTTCACCATTACCGTCGGCAAGGCCATATACGTAATGCATATCTGCCATTTCTGCATTTGAATAATTCACCAGTATTAACAAGATTGTAAAAACTAAATAATGAAAAAGTAGTCACAGCGAACAAACTTGATTAACAGGGACTTTTCAGATGTCAAAAGCCAGTGACATATTCCAGAGCAACTATTTAGATATTTATTGCTAAATTGTATTCTTCAATTATTACATTAATTTTCTCGGACAATAGAACGGTTTTATTTGTTTACTCAAAAATTGCGCATCAAAGGAAAACAATTCAAGAGAGATCGTTTGTTTTATATTGAACGGGGAATTCAAAAATAATTTTTATTTGGCAAAAAACCGTTGGCGTACCACTTTTTTCTTAAAAAATATCGAATTCAATATCAGGACGCACGTCACTGTTAAAGCTAAAAATTATTTTTGCATTTAAAAATATGCAACTTGATTAGCCTTCACTACTTACCATATATCAGTGAAATATCTGAAGCGGTTCTGAAAATATCAATTAATTTCCATTTTTTTCCTAAAACTTCAACACCCCGAGTTTTTGTAAGGAAATATTTTTGGACCATAGTTTATAAAGCAAACTAACATTAATTTTTCATGTAGGTTCACACCCTTAAATATTTGCATACCATTAAGGAACACCCTGTATAGTACACAACTTACAGCCTAGAACTCCAATAATGCCATCTTTGAAGCAGATGTTACATCACATCAGAGTCAAACATTGATAGCTGAAACGTCATTACGTTTAGGTAACACTGACAGCTACAGAACGAGTGCACATCAAGTTAACAACAGGTAGTTCTAAGTTGAAAATAGAAAAACCTACATAATGTCATTAAAAACCTATACGATGTCAAAAAACTAACATATTGTCACTTTTCAAGATACGTAATACCCCTGCCGGATACGCGAGATTACACTGTATGGGCAGCCTGCGCCAGACTTTGGAAGGTGTCATTCAGTGTATGGACATTTATCATGTAGTCAAACAATCCGTCCCAACATTCGTTATGCATCAGTAGCCGGTCTCTCAACGGCAATCTTATACCAGCATCAGCTTCATCAGCGGGAACCCTTAAGCTGCAGTCTTAGCTTTCCCTCAGTATGCGCGGCTTTATGATTACTATTCCGAAAAAAGTATTTTCTAGCTTATCCCTCTGCTACCCGTAAGGCCAACTTTAGTAACTTTAAAAGCTAACTACTAACCACGTCTGCACGCTGTGACAAGCTTTAGAAACAACTTTGAGGTACGAACTTTCCAGCTTCTCATTGAGAGAGCCTGGAAAGCAGACTAGAGGATGCAGGTTTTTCTGTGAATAGGATAGCTTCACCTAAGTCAGCATTGTTCGCGATTCTCTTCTGAGTCATAGTAAAAGCTTTATGCCTTTTTCGGTAACTGCAGTTCGCGCTAGGAGTCGCGCTTTGGAAAGATTCTTCCAGTGTATGAGTAGCTTTATAATTACCCTATGGTAGAGATTCCTTCGTTACTACGTTTCTGCGTCCAGCAGCTGGCGACCCCTACTGGCACTTCCACCAACTGAGCCGTGCCCTGCGCCAAGCTTTGAAAGCAGCTTGGAGGTTTGAGCTTTCGGGTCTTTCAGTGGAGTTCGCGATTTCGTTCAATCAACATGTCACGCAACTTTGCCTCTCCGTTATTCTGCCTCTTCATCGCTACGACCATCAGTTTCTCTGATGGGAGGGCGGTAAGTTGAATCTCAACCTACGATTTTTTTAATGACATTTGGTTCGAATTTACGACGGTATTAATTATTCTTAGTTGGAAAATAAGTTTGTTTTTTGAATATCTGCAGAGTTATGTAGATACATAATATATAAGGGGGTGTATCCTTGAACTTGGACTGCTGTTGTTATTTTGTTTTAGTTTGACAAATAATTTTTCACATACATAACATCTAACATGTTATAATTTTTCCTTATTCACCTCATATATGACGGAAATATTTCAACAGCTCGGGAGCTTTTACAATTATTACTATCGGTATAACTTTATGATTGTGGAGAGCGTCCCAAAAAATATTCGAACATTTTTGAATATACTGAAAATATTGTACTACTGATCTTAACGAAAATGAAAAAGTACTCCAATTCATGAAATGTGGAAGAACAAGCAATGGATAAAATGGTGTTTCTGAATTATTTTGGCATTAAATCTACACACTACATAGATATGCTGCATTCAGTAGGAATATTTCCTAATCGCCTATTAACTCCTATTAATGAATAGGTCAAGGCAAGAAATTCTTGAATAGATAATATGCTTCTTGTGTTTTTGATAGTTTTGCATAAGCGTGCAGTTCACACATGAAATTTGAAATGCAGAAAAAGATAAATTCCTAGCTGTTGAATATATTTAAAAAGTACTGTGACGATACATGATTGGTTTTTCTACAGGGTAGCTCATACTGTCATTTTATCGAAAACTCGTTTTGAATTTTAATCATTATTCTATTGAAATATGAGTATAGGTGAGATGAACAGTTCCAAAATTACGAATTTTCTTCTTTCAACGTAATGAAGACTGGTGGATCATCTTTCTCAACTCCAATATCTGTATGATGATATAAACCTCAGTTAGCATATGCTTTTGTTTAGCTCTTTGATGTATTTTGGTGCGCTTTATGTTATTCCATGGAAGCACACTATTTTCTATTGGAGAATAGATTTTCGGGCGTGGTCAGGAGCCTTTTTTAATAATCGAATTTCAGCTCTCTTAAGGAATTGGTTTTGAGATACAGGTGATAGATCCATATGGAAGAACTATTATCATTTTCCATATTTTATGACAAAGGGTCACCTGTCGGAGGGTCAAACGTGCAACTTTTTTTATTGCTAAAAGAAAATCCGGCTCTGTATAGGTCCTACTGAATAGCAGTCACGTTGTAGAGCCGAGCAGGTCTGACTAGTTTTATAATTTTAATAGATCTGGCACAGAAAAGGCAGTAGTAGAAATGTGACACCAGTTGTAATTTCCGTTCATGCAGTCATCGCATTCTTTTAGAGAGGAGGAAATTTGCATGTGTAGGTGTAAGTAAGTACAATTGAAATAGGTAAAAATGCTCGGGTTTGAATCCAAAACTGTTTGGAGTTTGAGTCACCAACGGGATGATTTGCCATAAACATGTCAATTGTCAGTGGTACCAGAGAGTTCCGTCTCTCTCACTGACATTCTGAAAAGAATTTTAAAAACTCTATTACCCAATAAAATCATGTGTGATATTTTCCTCAAGCGAGTTCGAGAGTAGATTCGTGTGACTGAAATGGCCCTCCTCAGAGAAATTCCTTCGGTCGACCATGATAATTGGTAGGATATTTGTCAAATAGTAGTGACACCAAGATCAAAGGTATCGACAGTTACTGTGTATTGACATCTGTGGCTGGGATATATACAAGCTATGCTAATACTGCAGGATATAATGTTTTCATTTCATATATCGGAAAATGCTTCAGATACTACTATTTACTTTCGATATGTTATAAAATAGTATGAAATGGCATATTTAAGTGTAAAAATTTGTTCTATCGTACCACCAATGACACGCCACTGATATTTTTCAAAATGAATATTCTTTCTACTTAGCTTGATCACTTCTACATAAAAACCCTATTCGTTTTTGATTAAGGTGTCAAAATCGTAACTGCTAACCAGAAGAAAAAATCCTCATTGAAATTGGCTGTCCGACTAACCGACGAAACGTGCTTAACTGATTATCTAAAACCCCTCTCATTCCGACTGACAGTCGAGGGGCTGATATGTTCGTAGAATTTGCTCCTATGAGCTCCATGATGCCGTCACAGCAAAGGCCTGCCACAGGAATTCACATCTGCATTCTGCATGTAAGGATGTCCTTCTGCCTAACATCAGTCTTTCGCCGATCGGCAAGGAAGTATTGTAATCGCGAAAACTTTCAAAAATTATATGACATGTGCATCACAAAAAATTATGTCACTCATTTATGTCCGTTTGTCTGTCTGTCTGTAGGTCTGTCCGCTAATCCTTGGGAAGTACCGCTCGGATTTTGACAAAATTTTCACAAAGGGTTACTGTATCAAGGACGAAAAATCTTTATAGGTTTTGAAAATCGGTCCAGTGGCGGTGGAGCTACGGGTTAAAAAACTAAAAGAAGTTTTCTAACATTTCAGAGGCTCCTAATCATTTTCACATAAATTTTTGTTTGGCTAAAAAGAGGATTGTTAGCGGTGGGGGACGATATACTTCAATTTTTTAATGCCGCTACTGACTGCATTGCTCCGTTTAATTTCACTGTTATACATGTATGTAACCACTTTCTCAGAGGGTCTAACTTGTGCTGAACACAATCTCTTATGAACTGATGACGTTGCATGTAAAGTGCAGAGTTAACCTACTTGTCGCCATTTTTTAAGCAAATTAACATTTCTATTTCATATTTATAATCCTGATAAATTTTCTTTGGAAGTCACACTCTATTCCCGCAACGAGCAACACTTCCATGTGGCCGATTTGACTCAAACAAAGGGAGAATAATCGCCATCGCCGCAACGTTCTAGCATTACAAAAGAAAAACAGGCTGTGTATTTAAAAACCCCCTTGAGATTCACAACGGCCTCATGTTTATTTAGCTCCGACCCGTTTCTCCGGTTTCACTAGAAATTTATCGCTAGTGTCTTCGGGCAGCGAATAGCGGACCATTTCCTGTTAATTGCGTTTGTTTTTATGATTGTGCTATAGTGTGACCCAAATTGGGCATATCGGCATTGCGATGCAGCTAATTTTGAAGCCGGGAATAGCGGGAACTAGGTGGAAAATAGAACAGATGTACTATTAGGGAAATAATAAAAGTCCCAGATCCAAAACAGTAACAGCTGAAAATATAATCTCTATACAGTAGTAACTATGTTTGAAGACGCTGTCAGTTTGAAATGTTTGGTGATTTTCACGGCCCTTTGACAAAGGCGAATTGCGGGTGAGCTGGAGAAGAGAAGACTAGCAGTGGCTTCATCTCAAACCTGGAGATTATTACTGCTTACTTTGACGAACAAGAAGCATCCTAGACCTCATCCGGTTCCGATGAATGGCCAAGTTCTATCTAAGAGCCGTTCATTTCGGGTGGTCGGAGTCCAGGGAGGAGACTTGATCTGGCACGAACAAATCTCTTTTCTCCACATGACACTCTGTACAAGGTCCAGATAAGACCTAGCTTCAAGTACTGCTCACATGTTTTGGGTGCTGCTGCCCTGACTACATTATCGATACTCGATGCTGTTCAGATGAGGGCTGTCCGACTGATCGATGGCTATTCTCTAACGGGCAGTCTCGGGGCCCCTTGAAAGGTGTTTTGACTCTTGCTAAACTCGATGATTAACGCTATGTGCATTCCATTCTTTCAATTTACACGATTTCCGTAAAGTCAATAAACAGGAGAGCATAAATTTAGCGCCACCAACAACTTTCGGATTTCTTTCACTCTGTTGAATTGTAACTCAATATAACTTACAGAGATGAAAAATCAAAAATGATAAATATGGAGGTGATTCTAATTGATTTAATGACAAATTCATTCCTGTAAGTTATACAAACATACATTTAAACCAACTAGAGACAAAACTAAAATTGTTGGTGGGGCTATAGTTATGCTCTCCAGTATAATATATACTGATTTTTTGAAACATTCGCCCTTCAGTGAAACCATTAGCCTTTTTTTGGCTGAAGACTGAATGTGGCCGCAACTTTGGTCGGACCCCCCTAATACTCTGTTTCCATCAATAATGGAGATAGGTTCCTTTAACACCTTTTCTATATCACCCAAAATATACAAACATCTCCTCACTCATAAATGTGACACATAATTACATATAAGTTTTGTCTTCCGAAGTCTAAAGAAACAACGTTGAGAGTTGTTTCCAAACTTAATGTAACTTATCTCATCCGAGTTGAGACCTTGTTCCCTGAAATTAGCTTTGGATTTAGCGTGCTCATGTCTGGTAGCTGGCTTTCTCTTGCGGGTGGTTTGGTTTTCAAGAAAATCCTGTTAATAGTTACGACAAGGCATCGTTACTCGAGAGAGTAATGAGATATTGTGCTTAAATGTAGTGGTCGATTCACTGTGACAAATTAAGATAAAATTAACAGAGTTGACTGTCTCATTGCAAGGACCATAAATCGAAAAGCTTACGAGTATTTTGAAAACTGACATTTGCAAATTTCAAGATGGTGGTTGTGGCACATCCCTTTGAAGATCATCATAAGATCTTTATAACTCTAGATGTAAGGGCGCCTATTTTTCAAAATGGCTGATTGGCGGGCTGTCAAAATTTATAGTTTTCACGTATTATTGGACATTCGGATAGATTCTTTCAATAGAAGATAGTTGGTATAACATGCTATAAAGTAATAATTGCTTTCGTATCGATAGATCCTGTACCTCAGATAGAGGATACTATGCTTTGCTTCTGTTCCTAAAGATTTGCCTAGACCCTGCTGACGATTTGCAATAAGTACAAGTCTTATTAGTTTTCAATGGAAACTTGGCAACTAAACCACATCTACTATCGTCAAGAACGCCGGTATCAAGCGGTCACAATGAGGACTCGGTCTCTGATGCAAACTGAGATAATTTACTGTTCGAAACAACAGCTGCACTTCACTTCCGCACTGGCCAGTTATGGTAATAGCGTGTACCTTTGCTATCTTATTTGGATGCTATAGGACTATAGGGTTTCGTAGTTGTTACATTTTAGGAGAGTCAACGTACAAAGTCTCTCAGCGCCAGCCGCTATTTTGGCAGATAGTGAACATTTTATTCTAGGGTTATAAAGTACTCGTGAGGAGCTTCAAAATGTTGTATCAGATAACCCATCATGCTATTAAAAAATCTCTCGGCCAACTGCATCGATTTCATCATTCCGAATTCCAATTTGATAACTCTTTACGTTGCGTCTTGAAAAGTCAATTTTTTCGTACATTCAAAGTAAGTAAAATTCTATTTTCTGTATCCTGTGAACTTTTTGGGCTTGGGGTACTGGGTCATCTCAGACCTCTCGAGTACTGTTCGTCATTTGGATACATGAGATCCCACATTAACAAATTATTACTTTCTTTCTTATTTATAATTTCAGACAGTAATTTGGTACGAATCATCATCTTGCTACTTTACTTATCCCACTGGTAAACATGTGTCCAGACGCAAAGACTTATTGATTGATAACACCATCGAGTAAAAATAGATATTGAGTTCTTCACCACCACTTTACTATATTAGCTTCCGCTCGACGTGTATGAGTATGTTATTGGCATGTCCATATTTCACAGCCAACTGTGTCGATATTTAAAGAATCGTTATTATGTTTGCAGAAAAAACAATAAACTGATATATTAGAAAAAATCTTTCCTATGAGAAATTAAATAGACCGATATATTTACCAACAGTTTAGTATATTATCGTATTATGATATTGGCGGACTCACGAAACACTACGATAATAATTTTTGTTAAGCAACCTAGTTATTTCATACTCTCTAAAATGATCAATGAAGGTAATATGTTTTCGACAATCTATTATGGGATCATTCCCATGTATACGGAAAAAGGCCAATGGTATATACAGGGTGTTAATAAAGTATGTAGACAAACTTCAGGAGGTTATTCTTTTGCGTAATTTTAAGATGAAAAGTTCGTATAAACATAGGTCCACAAATGCTTCGTTTTCAAGAAACAGGGTGTAAAACTTTTTTTAAAAATCGTTTTTTCCTAAATATCTTAATAAACTTCTAGTCGATTTTGTTCAAATTCTACAGTAGTATTAAGGGCAGTAAGGGGCTAACCAATATCTTTGACAAAAAATTTGTGCGCCAATTTTTCTATTTTTTTAGAATTCAGCAGCTAAAAATAAAAACTCATTTATTTCCTCAGTTTCTTTCATATCTCGATTCGTTTACGAGATAAAAAATAAAAGCACTTTATTGCGTGTTTTTGATAAATAAGTTACACGAAAGTCGTCTTTTGAATTTTTTTGCTCAGATTAGGTATACCTGCTTTCGATAAAACAAATAAACATATAATATTTACATAACGTTATTTATTGTTGCAATGTCTTGCCAGTGGCGTTGCACAGTCTTTCAGGAGACAAAAAAATTGTATTTTTAGCTCCTAAATCCTAAAATTGAAAAATTGAAAAAGGTCAGTGGCGGC